TTTTTCTTTCCAAACCACTTATGCATATATCTTTAATACATTATTGTTTTTAATATGTAACACAAAAATTCATTGAAGAAAGAATAAATTTACACATTAGCAATTATTAATATTAGGTGACATTTTGCAAACTCAATTATTGGTATATAAGGACTACATGAACACAACATATTTTAACTTAGTTTATTAGAAAGACTGACTAGTTATGTAGATAGACACATGGACAGCATTTTAAACCAGTAAACAGAGAATACACATTATTTTTCAATGCTAGAAAAATATTTCTGAAAATTTTAAAGTTTTAGGCTTTGACAGTGTCATAATGTCATGTAAACAGAAATCTTTCATGTCATATTTTCTTTCAACTATGAAATGGAAATAGAAAATACAAATTAAAATGTAACCAACAAGTATTATTTAGCCTCATGTCATACAATTTTTTGTTGAAAACAAGACATTTTGAATATTATACTGTGGTAACTTTGGACATTAAATCAACTCCCTTCCTCTGGGTTTTTGTTGCTACTTATTGTGGGCTGTATCTAAGCTCATTTTGTGAAAATGGCATGCTCTGTCATGAATATTCATTGAAGTTCCTGTTCCATTAGCTTAGTGGTCATGGAGTGACATAGAGATTCTCTTAAACGCCTGCCCTTGCCTGGCATACTTGTCTAAAATCTGATCTTTTCATCTGGGATCCACATATGTGTCAGGGCATACTTTTACCAATAAGCCAGGAAATTACAACTTTGTTTTTACCTTAATTTTCTGCTTGTGTAGTGTAGGAAGGTCAAAGAAAGATGAGAGCTCAGGGCCTTCGTGGGTCTTTCCTGAGCACATTCCTTGTCCCTGAGCACCCCGTGGCCTCCTGGATCCCCAGGATTGTTATCACAGCCCTAATCCCCAAAGCATCTCACTAATCAGTCTTTCCTTTTAGGATTTTTCAGGGGGACTATTTTTTTTTTGTCTCAAATGATATCCCTTGCCAGTATAGGCCTAGTATTTCATTTCTATTAAAATATTTTATTTTAGAGTTTCTTTTTTATTATTATCTTTTATTTTTTTTATTTCAGCATATTATAGGGGTACAAATTTTAAGGTTTCAAATAATGCTCTTTCCTCCCTCCCCCCACAAGTCTCAGTTTCCAGCATGACCATCCCCCAGATGGTGCACATCTCACTCATTATGTATGTATACACCTGCCCCCCTCCCACCTGCCCAATACCCTATTACTATAGTTCCTATGTGTCCATTTAGGTGCTACTCAGTTAATACCAGTTTGCTGGTGAGTATATGTGGTGCTTGTTTTTTCATTCTTGGGATACTTCACTTAGTAGTATGGGTTCCAGCTCTAACCAGGAAAATACAGGAGGTGCTATATCACTATTGTTTTTTATAGCTGAGTAATACTCCATGGTATGCATATACCACATTTTATTAATCCACTCATGTATTGATGGCCACTTGGGTTGTTTGCAAGTTCATAATTGCAACAGCCTTGCAATTATGAATTGTGCTGCTGTAAACATTCGAGTGCAGGTGTTTTTTTTGTAGAATGGTCATTGGATCTTTTGGGTAGATGCCCAGTAATGGGATTGCTGGATCAAATGGTAAATCCACTTGTATCACTTTAAGGTATCTCCATATTGCTTTCCAAAGAGGTTGAACTAGTTTACAGTCCTACCAGCAGTGTAGGAGTGTTCCTATCTCTCCGCATCCACACCAGCATTTATTGTTTGGGGACTTTTTGATAAAGGCCATTCTCACTGGAGTTAAATGATATCTTATTGTGGTTTTGATTTGCATTTCCTGATGATTAGAGATGTTGACCATTTTTTCATGTTTCTTGGCCATTCTTCTGTCTTCTTTAGAAAAGTTTCTGTTCAAGTCCTTTGCCCACTTTTTGATAGGGTTGTTTGATTTTTTCTTGCTGTTTTTCATGAGTTCTAAGTAGATTCTAGTTATCAGCCCCTTATCAGTAGTGTAGGATGCAAAATTTTCCCATCTGTAGGTTGTCTGTTTACTTTCATGACTATTTTTTTGGCTGTGCAGAAGCTTTGTAGTTTGATCATGTCCCATTTCTTTATTTTGTTGCTGCTGTGATTGCCTTTGGGGACTTCTTCATAATTTTTTGCCTAGGCCGATGTCTAGAAATGTTTCAACATTTTCCTCTAGAATTCTAATAGTTTCATACCTTAGGTTTAAGTCTGTTATCCAGCGTATTTAAATACTTTTGACAAACATTTGGCTATTGATTTGAGATATTTTTTGTCTTTTTTTTTTTTTTTTTTTGAGACAGAGTCTCGCTTTGTTGTCCAGGCTAGAGTGAGTGCCATGGCGTCAGCCTAGCTCACAGCAACCTCAAACTCCTGGGCTCAAGTAATCCTCCTGCCTCAGCCTCCCGAGTAGCTGGGACTACAGGCATGCGCCACCATGCCCGGCTAATTTTTTATATATATATCAGTTGGCAATTAATTTCTTTCTATTTATAGTAGAGACGGGGTCTCGCTCTTGCTCAGGCTGGTTTTGAACTCCTGACCTTGAGCAATCCGCCCGCCTCGGCCTCCCAAGAGCTAGGATTACAGGCGTGAGCCACTGCGCCCGGCCTTTTTTTGTCTTTTTAATGAAGAAATTACTGCTATAAGTTTCCCTCAGAACACTGCTTTCACTAAATCCCCTAAATTTTGTTATGTTTTTTCTACCTTTTAATTTATCTTAAAATGTCTTCCAATACTATTTGTGATTTCTTTTTGGATCTGGTATGTAGGAATGTATCATCTAATGTCCACATATTTATGAGTTTCCCAAATTCCTTGCTTTCATTGATCTCTAATTTTCTTTTATTATGATTAGTGTGAACGTTGTCAGAATCAAAATTGGATCAGTAATGTTAAGAAAACCCTTACAAATAGAGCCAGGGAAGGCAATGAAAAAAGGGTTCTCTTGCTTGTATGACTAATGAAATAAGCTCTAAAAGAAAACCACAACCTCACAAAAGTCATTGCAACTTTATAGAAAAAATAATTCTGCAAGGACATCTCAACATTTTTCATTCCAACCTTGGACTGGCATGACCTTGTTATTGGTCTTTGTAGCTAAGGATAATTATTTCAAGACAATTATGTAACACTCCTCATTTTTTCTTTAAAAACATTTTTATTCCTTTACCCTGTTAAATATGCATGAATATTCTCATTATAATGCTCTATTCCCAAATAAACATCTTTTCTTTTAGAGAGCCTCTCTTTGTTCATTATTTAGGTTGATATTAGAAAACACTCATTGTATTATTTCAGTCTAAAAGATTAGTAAATCTTTTAGATTTACTAATGTTTATTTTATGGCTCAGCAGCTGGTCTATCCTACAGAAATGTTCCATGTGCATTTGGATCCAGTATATATTCTGATGTTGGGTGGATATATATATATATGCATATGTAATTTTATATTTAATGTTAGTGTATGAATTTGAATTTACATCTGCTGTTTTACTTTTTGTTTTCTATATCTCTTATTTTTTTATTCCTTATTTTGCTTTTATTCTTTTCTTTTGCATTAAGTCGATATTTACCCTGTGATATTTTAATTTGTATAATGAGTTTTCTCTGTATTCTTTTTTTAATTTTAGTTTTGATTGATGTATAATGATTGTACCTGCTAATTACCATGATTTGAGTATTACACAATGTATACATGTATTGAAACAACATTGAACCCCTATATTTTTTGATGGAAGTGTTACTCCTATACAGCTTTATTCTCCCTTTCCCCCCTTTTGTGCTATGAATGTTATATTTGTTATATCTAGATGGTTATAAATGTGACAATATGTTCTTATAGTTATTTCTTTATATAATTAATTGTTTTAAATAAGCTGATAGAAGAAATAGAGCAATTATGCATTTATAACTTTGTGATGTTAAACTTCTTATTTTCCGTTTTTGGTTCTCTTCATTTGTAGATTGAAGTTATTTTCCACAAAACTTTCCTTAGCCCCATATGGTTTCTCTACCACCACCTCCTCTGTGCCACTATTGGCAAATACATTAAATTTCAATTTGTTACGGTCCCAAGGATACAGTTACAAACACATTTATAAAGCTCATTTTACTTTAAAAAATTGGTTAAGAAAATAAATATTCACTTATGCTATCTTATAATTATGTAATTACCTTAATTAGTGTTATTTTTCTTACACATTCAATTTATTGTCTGGGCTCATTTTCATTCAGTCTAAAGAACTTCTTTTAGTATTTTTCATAAGGTCTGTCTGCTAGCAACAATTTTTCTCAGTTTTTGCTTGTCCAAAATGTTTTTATTCACCTTTATTTTTAATTTTTTTAAAAAAAAATTAATTATGGGTACATAATAGTTGTGATGTTTTGATTCAGGCATGCAATGTGAATTAATCAAATCAGAGTAATTAGTGTATCCATCACCCTCATTTTTAATATGTAGTTTTCTTGAGTACACAATACTTGCTGGACAGGTTTTTTTTTTTTTTTTTTTGAGAATTGAAAAAAATAACATAAATAAAAACTTGAAAATCTTCCAAGAGGGCAAAGAAATCAAGACCTAAGAATGCTTATTGGATAGAGCAATGAGGTCAGAGTAATGGCAGCTGATGATAGATTGGACTGGTTTGGAGATGGTAGAATTGTAATGGAAGACAATAGAAGTCTGGTGATCAGGTAGTTTTGACTGTAGCCAAGTAGAAATTTATTTGTTACAGCATCAAAGATGGCACATGAGAGGTGCAGCAGGCTGAAACCAAATGTGGTTAGATCTGATGCCTTAGGGCAATATCTATAGGTTACATGGGAGTAAAGTTATCACTCTACCATCAGGTTATTTTTGAATAAGGAAGTGTATCATGAACATGGCAGTCATGATCAAGGTTAAGTTTAATATTAGAATTAGTTATAATAAGGGTATGGTGGATGGATGTCAGAGAAACAAATAAAATTGTCAGTTGCTAAGAATGCTGTAATCACTTTATTTACCACACTCTAATGCTGAGTGTGTGAATAGAAACAACAGAGGGAACTGGGGGACAGTGTGGCAGAACCCCCCACCATGAGAGCTTGGATGCCTGTGTTGAAATGAGATATTTTGGTAAGGACAATGCATAATCCAACCCTCCAGTGTCCTTCCTCTAAAACTCACCCTCCCAAACTGGTTGGGTCAAAGGAGTAGAAAGATATTTGCCTTCTGGTTCCTATGCCAGGTTCTCTGACTTGACTTCTGGAAGAAAGAGACTTTCACTTACATAGGTCTGGTGAAGAGGGCATTTTCTTCTTTCCTGAAAAGGTGGTGCGTAGACTACCTGTGTCTCTGAAATTTAGGGCCCTCTGGGTAGTATGTGTGAAGGTCACCACGTTGTCTCTTGAGTAAGCAAGGATACACTGAATGAGCTGACATGACAATAAAAAACAGTTGGAAGTTAGAGTTATTTTTTGACTTCTGTTTTGTTGACAAGGACTGAGACCAGACAACGCACCTGGGAAAGGATACGTAAGAAAATGAGCTCACACATCATAAAGTTTGGAACCCAGCTGTTACTACTCCATTATTTTCCAGGGATAAGCCCCTTTGGTGGCTCCCTTTTCCAATAATCCCAGGGCCACAGCTGTCCTGATTCTACAGGTGACATGACAATTATGAGCCTGAAGGGAGATTAAATGACAGCATCTCTTCTTTATAGCGATGTCTTAGGGACCACAGTCCACATACGCAGAATAGCTCCAAGACTCAGCTGTGTGTCTGTTTCTCAGCTTTAATAACAGTGAAGCTCAAGACTCAGGTAGGTAATGGGAAAAGGAAGGATTTCCTCAGTGATGTCAGTAATTCTCCCATATTTTGTCTTGTATCTTACTGAATTATAACTAATTAGGTGTTTTCAGATAAAGTATAAATTTTGTTAACATATAACAATGTAACAATAAATTTATATGTTTTAGAATGAAAGTAGGTAATTTTGTGAAGTTATATTTGAATTGTTTATATTTGGAATTTTATTTGATTATTTAGTGTTTCTCATCTCAATAAATTAACACGACAACAAATTATCTTATGCATTTATGAAAAATTTCCCCTGTAAGGTACAACAAATCTGAGCAAATTCAGAATGATTAAATCATACTCATTTTTTTTGTTTGGGGATATTTTTGTATGTTTCTAATACTTCAAGACTATCCAAGTAATGAAGTCATAAAGTAATGTTTTACAAACATACACTCTTGCATAACAAGAGTATTCCTTTATCATAAAAATCCTCTAAATGTACTACTCCTATTTTTTTCTCTGAAAGTTTCACACTGTCCTTATTTAGCTCAAGAAAACATAGCAACAAGTAAATGTCAATGTGGTTGAAAGTCACAAGTTAATATTATCTGAATTAGGTAAGGTTAGTGTCTATTTCTTAAATGGAAAAGAGAGAGGATAGACACTGTTGAAAACAGAAATAGAATGATGATAACAAATTATACATTTGTTGTGCATGAATGAGAGCATGAAAACCTCAAAAATCTTGATCAGTAGAAAAACTTTTCTGTTCCTGAACATTAAAGAACTTTGTTTGCCTTAAAATATTTCTTGATAAAAGCCCCTGAATTTCCTGTGGGTGAGGGAGGGTGTCTGAGAGGAAGCATCATGATGGACGCTGAACAGCGTTCCTGAGCACACAGGACAGCCGTCCATTTCTTTCTTAGCACAACATCTGACACAGTTTGTAAGACCGTGATCTTCCCAGTGCTGTGATAACACAGAGATGTGACAGTAAAAGCCTTTATAAAAATATACTTTGCTAATATCTTTTTTGATCTGATGGTCAGAAAAATTGCACTGGCAGATAAGAGTTTTAAGTTTTTCAAAAATCTGTGGCTCAGGATTTGTGATCATCCCCCTCCAGTGCTTTTCGTCTCCTACCTCTACAGCAACCCTTCTTCTTCCCACGTTTATCCTCAATGAGCTGAAGATCAAATGTCTTCAGATTATGGATATCCCTGGTTAGTGAGCATTGTGCTTCCAGCTTCACACTACTCGTTAAATTACCAAAGAACAATACATGTATTTCAGTTTTTCAATGGTGTTTGGAACTATTTATAGTTACTCTTTTGTCATTTGTACATTATACAAAAGATTTTCATAGAACTATTCTAGCTGGGAAAGGTAGTCCGCTTTTCTGATGTTGCCAGTTGTGTTTCTCAGGTTGCCAACTGCTGCTACTGAATGAACAAACCCTCCTCCCCACCAGCCAGGTCATCTGCTGTTCTCATAATCACTTTATGCTGTCACTGACCAGTCATATCTTTTACAATGTTGTTCAGAGAATATGGCAAAAGGGTGGGAAATATGACACTTGATTAATGTAACAGAATAAAACATAGAATGCTACTTTGTGATGTATACTTATACTTAAATATGTGTCAGGCCAAAGGAAAATTGTACTAAATGATATTTATAAAATAATGAAACTCTAAATATTGAATATTATTATAAAGATGAGAAAATAGACTTAAAGCTTCATTTTCTCTAAAATAACATTTTATCTAATGCAAAATAGCTTTGGGTTTTGTAAATGATCTTTTTCCCTTTTATTACAGTTCTCCTTTGATCTAAGCCTATAGACTTTATGATTAGTTTTGGTTCCTGGTCTAATTAATTGTGTTATTCTCCCTAATGTTTCCATAAGTGTGTATATGCTTTGGGCTTATAAAATTAAGAATATTCAAAGTTGAAAGTGAGAATAATAAAGATGAACTTGATCTACATTATCCATCTCTGAGAGTACTTAAGGGTCTCTCCCTCAACCGAACCCAAAACAACCTGGTTGCTACATGTCATGGTGAGTGCTGAGATGTGCACTCAAATTTATAAGTTTTTATTGTATCAGATAAGACCCAATCCTCCTTTACACTCAGACCTATCTATATGATCTCTACAGGTTTTTCTTCTATTTCATTTCTCTCAGGTCTGCATTATGTTTTAAGATCCCATGATTATTTTACACTGTGGTTGCCAGATTCATTAAATAAAAATATAGGAAACACAGTTAAGTTTAAAATTCAGAAAAAAACAACAAATAACTTTTTATAATAACTATAAAATATTGAAATATGTATTTTCATGTAATTATATCTACATATGTCCATCCTCCTAGATATTGTGTAGAATGAATATATATATATATGTATACACACACACAACATTATTTGAAATTTGTATTTAAGAGACTTTCTTGTACTTTATCTGTTGACCAATCAAACACAGTGCTATGCCTCCCCAGTTCATGCTCAGCACCAATGCCCTCTGCAGTCTTCCTGGAGAAGGAGGCGGCATGGCCTAGCAGATAACACTCTTTCTTGTGGTATGTGAGAGTCATTCACAGAGTGAGGGCATGAATTAGAGATTGTGGTAAGCTGAATATTCCTTGGCATGAGAAAAAAAAACTAATAAAATTCTTATCTCTGTTATTTCTCCCAATATTTTTATTAACTCTTTTAGGTATATGGCTTGCAATATTTGCAGAACAATAATACAACGATTCAAGTATATATAAATAATAATAAATAATTCCACATACATTAGTAATTCATTTCCAAATATTGCTTAACTTGTACTGGATTGTGAGCCTTAAGATGTGGAGACTGTTGAGCCTTGAAGTCAATATTCTCCTGGTGCCTCTTCTGAGTGCAACATGGCTACAGATTCTAGCCAAGCTAAGGGTGCAGATGTATGTTATTGGGAACTATTCAGTTTCTTATTCTAACAGTTGAGATAAATATGTCCATTTACTAGTTTAAGAATTTGGGGAAAGAGTAAGAAAAATATATGTAATGAACCATGTAATTTTTCTTATAAAGTCATACATGCCAGGTGATTTTAGAACAATGTTCTACCTCAGCCATGATTGTCTGAGTATAAGCCAACAACACTGTCATGTTATCCGCATTGTTTTATAGATTTATACTCATGGGCCAGTGTAGTTTTAAGTAACCTTGAAAACAAGTGAAACTTTTTCCATGTCACAACAGAAATAGAGTGACTGTATGGGAACTTCTTTTTTCAGCATCATACAGCTGCATTTTTCTAAGCCCAGTATTGAATTGATTCAATTAAAAAAGATGCCTATATTTGGAACAAATAACATAAGAACATAGTTTCTAAATTATTCAGTGAGATTTCACAAAAGATTCTGATACAGAGATCTCTTGATTTAGACCCGTGGAGAGTCATCTTTACTATTGGAAACCTAAGTATTTTTAAAGGCAAAGGGGACATTCATGGGTTCATTGAAGTATCAAGAAAAGGGTTACATGTGAGCATTTTGATGCAACCTCATGGATATCATAATATTGGAAAACATGTCATTTGGTTATTTTGGATTTTTTCTTTTTTTTTTTTTTGAAAATTGAGGGCAGAATTTTGCCAATTCGCTCCTGAGATAAAGAGAGTTTACATACAGGGTTTATCACATAGAAACTAAGCTGGGGGAGAGACAGAACCATTTCGAGGAGATATAGTCTTAAAAATGTGTACATTTTAATTCCCTGACCCCAGGACTATATTAGGTAATACAGTCAAAGAGAATTAAGGTGCAGATGCCATCAACATTAATAAGTAGCTGACTTTATGACAGAATGATCATCCTGCACTATTAGGGTAGGCCCTATGCAATTATAAGAGCATATAAATGTAGAAGAGGGAGGAAGGAGAAAAAATGTCAGTGGTGTGCTGTGAGGTCAAATCAATGGAACATCATTTTGCAACATGTTTTTGGTCATTCTTTTCCATTTGCATAAATTTTTTTTCAGTTCAACTGTACAAACACCCATGATTTATTTTTACATCACATTACTGTCCTGGATGCTGAAAATTAAATACAGAAATGTAGAAAGTAAAGAAATGCTTTCTAAATCGCCCCACGTACTGTAGGAGTATAGCTAATGTGCACCATATACAGGTGTGATTGTGAATGTGTGGGTGTTTGATATATTAAATCAATAATTTTGTGTATAAAATAAAGTTCAGACTGTATTTTTAAGAATCTATATGAGATAGGGTTAATCAGGACAAATGAGTGGAATTAAAATGACTTTGTGATAATAATTTTGACTATGAAACAACATGGAGGATGGAAAATCTATTGTTTTTTTTCCAGATACATAATATACATTTTATTTTTGCCATTAAGATGAACACACTTTCTAATTATGATATCATTAAGGAGCACATTTCTTTTCCAAGCTGGTATTGGAATCTCAGCCAACACCTTCCTCCTTTTCTTCTGCATCTTCACAGTCCTTTTGGATAACAGGCCTAAGCACACTGACATGACCACCAGTCACTTGGCTGTTGTCCACATCATGTTGCTTCTTTCTGTAGTGTTCTTGGTGTCACCAAACCTCTTTGAATCACTGAATTTTCAAGATGGCCTCAAATGTAAGGTACTTTTCTACATGAACAGGGTGATGAGGGGTCTCTCCATCTGCACCACCTGCCTCCTGAGTGTGCTCCAAGCAATCACCATCAGCCCTAGCACCTCCTGGTTGGCAAGATTTAAACATACATTTACCAATTATACTTTCCATATTGTTGCCTTGTTTTGGTCCCTCAGTTTGTCCTGCAATAGTTACATAATCTTCCACACTACGGCTTCCTCCAATGTGACCCAGACTGATATGCTGCTGTTCAATAAATACTGCTTAATTTCCCCAATGAACTCCATCATTAGGAGCCTTATATTCACTCTGATGTTATCCAGGCATGTCTTCTTTGTGGGAATCATGCTGCTCTCAAGTGCATACATGGTGGTTCTCTTATTCAGGCATAAAAGAAGGTCCCAGCACCTTCACAGCACCAACCTCTCTTCAAGAGCCTCCCCAGAGAAAAGGGCCACCAGGACTATCCTGCTGCTGGTGAGTTGCTTTGTGGTCATGTACTGGGTGGACTTCAGCATCTCATCCTCCTTAGTCCTATCATGGGTGCATGACTCAGTAATCCGTGGTGTTCAGGGTCTTTTGAGCAATGTCTATGCCATTGTCAGTCCTTTGGTACTAGTCAGTTCTGATAAAAGGATTATCAATATTCTACGACATATGCGACAAAAGTGTCATAGATTTTTAACAAGTGAACCATGAAAATAATTATCTGAAAATAGATTATTCTGACATCAGTTCAATTATTTAAATAGCAGACAATATTGTTTAAATTGTGTAGAATTACATTGTTATTTTATCTAAATGCTTTGGAAATTGATGCTGCTAAGGACTTAGTGGATTCTTTAGCCCAGTACCCACTATGACTTGATGCCCATGTGTTGACAAGTTTCTTACCTTTTGATTCCCTGAACTTCATTTAACCACTTCACTACCAGCGTCAACTTTAGTCGACAGCCACAGATGAAGGCGCATGTAGATTTTACCCGGCAGCCGTGATATGAAGACGCACAGCTGAGCATTGACTTTAGCCAACAGTCATGATATGACTTTTCTAATTTTTCATTTATCAAAATAAAATTGTGAACATTTAAAAATAACGTAATAAAAGCACATATGTACATGTTACCTATTCTGATTTACATTAAAAGTAAAGCTGGCTGTAAAGTAAAACAAGCCTTCAGTGCTTTAAAGCTTTCCTCATCACACAGAAGCAAAACGGATCCATAGTCAGTGGACAGCACAGACTACTGTGCGGACTGTGAGTGCCAGCTGTGGGCAAGGTGTCGCGGCTGGTGAGCGCCATACCAAAGTGGTTAAGAAACCTTTCCTATTTTTTTTGAAGTGTACTCTTAAAAAGCTCCTACTGACGAGTAAATTTCTGATGAAGGTTTCTTAAACCAACACAAAAAGGTCAAAATTGACCTGAAGTAGAAAACCTGGATAGACCAATAATCAGACAGGAAAATGAAAAAGTTATCAGAAAAGTGGCTCCAAAAGTTCTGAGCACAGATGGTTGTCCCAAGGAGCCCGGCGGTGTTCGGCGCCTCCTCCGCCCCTCGTGGCGGTGCGCAGCCGCGGCGACCTTGGGCTTCGCGGACCGGCAGAGCGAGCTGCAGAGGGGCCGCGCAGGCTGGGGCACAAGGAGCTGGGCTCGGCCTGCGCCCCGAGGCCTCACGACGCGCAGCACAGGCGCCAGGCACCGAGCACTCTGCGGGCCGCGGGGCTGTCGCCGCTGCTCGGACCGGACGAACTTCT